GTATCACTTGAGTTTCCTCCAATGATTTAAACATTCACCCCAAGTCTGTACTTGTTTATTAAAACCTGGAGTTACCCCTTCTAAACTGTACAGCTAATCGGATATTCCTACAAAGGAATGTATTTTTAATGAGTTACAGACCAAAGGGTTCTCAAGATTATTAGTATAGTAAATGTGTATCCTAAAGATGTGTCAACAGATCAGATCACTGAATGCTTCTGAAGAAGGCCTGGATCAATCTCCAGCCCTCGCTTGGAGGCTCCAACCACTCCTAATTCCAGGTCAAAAGAATCTAATGCTGTCTTCTGCCCTCAGTAAACAGCAGCACATAAGTGGTACAAATCCATGTACACACATATGCAAAAGTGTCCCACACATTTCAAAAAAGAAGTAAAAACATACACAAATATAGGGAAAACGTTATACAACTGCAACTCAGTGATTCAGGAGATCAGTATCAATGTTACGTATGCAAGGTATCATGGGGCATCATGGTCCAAAAAATAATACCCTCTGCTAAAGCTTGACAACTACAAAAATCTAATTTGATCAACTAAGAATATTAACAAACAAACAAAAAAAAGGTGCAGAACTTTTAGAAGATAGTAAAGAAATGGTTGCTCTCTGTCAGTTACCAAACTGCCTTCCCTGGGAGCAATGGATGGCTCTGAGGGGTGGTCACTGCATGGTGACGCCAGCAACAAAGATGACTGCACACAAGGGCTCCCACTCCCCATACACAGACACAGACAGCTGAGCAAAGCCATTCACAGGCCCTGTCTCTGCCTGGGAGTTCCAGAGACCTTTCACAGGACCTCAGTAGACCTCCAGGCATCGAATGAGACCTCACATGAATTCAGGGGACCACATGGGACCTCACAATACTACTGAAATGCAGTATATCTGACTTTTCCCACCTGTCCTTGAAAGGAACACCTAATTTTCTTCTGTGGCTTTTCCTCAAGAGTAGACTGTGGCCTCTCACGCACCAGGGTGCAGCTTCTAAGTGGACAAAAATCCTGGGCCTGAAAATAACTATGTGACTAAGGCCCAGTGGACAGATGTCTGCTACACAAAGAAGAACCAAGTATTGTACTTCCAAAGTGAAAATAGAATGGTACTTGTGAGGTGAACTGCCACTCTTGTGTTCCCAGATTCTCAGAAGTGAAAACTGGCTATAATAAACTTCCTGTCACAAAAGAGCTCAGCAAGTATGGCAGACATAGTCTTCAGGCTGAATGCTGTGTGAACACTGCTCACAGTCTGTCTTCA